CGGAAAGGCTCGACCGCATCACTTTCTTCGATGAACTCGAATGATGGTCACAGCCCTGTGAGAAGACCAAGTGCTGGCTTCGTTCGAAGGTCCACCCATGGACCTCCTCCGCTATCAACGATCCCAACTGTGTACTTTGACGATGAATTCCATCTCGAGAATCCCCGAACTTTTGACATTGTGAGCGAACGATCCGAGGTTATCCGACCCGCCAATGCCAATGACGGGCAAAGCTCACTCAACGGAAGCGCTGCCGCGCCAAGGAAGGCTCTTGCAACCAATGCAATTTTGCAAGAGAAGCTGTCTTGGTACATGGACACTATCGAGGTTCATCTAATCAATTCCATCTCCACCGCATCAACAACGTTTTTTACTGCCCTGGGATCGCTGAAGGAACTCCACTCAGAAGCCGCGGAATCGGTGGGGAGAATTAAGACACTTCGAAAAGAGCTGAAAGCTTTGGACGAAGAAATCGCAACCAGAGGCCTCCAGATTGTCTACCAGCGAAGGCGCCAAGAAAATCTACGCCAACTTAACGATGCTGTGCTTCAGCTGAGGCAGATTGCGGACGGCCTTGCAAGGTGCGAGACGCTAGTGGACGAAGGGGAAGTCGACAAGGCACTGGCGAATATCGACTCTCTTGAAAAGCTTATTGCAGGCGAAAGGGATGCTACTACTGCAAATGAACCTGGCATTCAGTTGCGGGACCTGCGTTCAGCTTCAGCTTTACAAAGCGTCAACGCGGATCTGACAGCTTTGCGGTCTCGTATAGGAAAGGCATACGAAACCAACTTTCAGAATATTCTAATACGTGATCTACGACGACACGTCGAATCTGTGTCATCCCAAGAGATTCTTCTCAGGTGGAGTCATGCAGCGAGTCGATCCAAAGGTAGCCATGCTAGGTCTCCTTCAGTGTTTCCAACCTATCTCACAAATACCGATGAATTGAAGACCGAGCTGCTGCCCAATATGATTGGTCTGCATCGAGCAAGACATATCGCAGAAGCGACTGTCGCATACCGCGAGTCTGTCTTGCGTGAAATCCGAAACTTGATCAGACGCCCCCTGCCCAGTTCTACAGATGATGACAATGAGTCGATGATGTCAGTCTCTACTGCAAGTGGTGGTCGACATCTATCAAATCAGGAAAAGTCATCCATTTTGGCACGGAATCTTCGCTCTTTGGATCCCGAGGATGGTGAAGATCTTCTGATCAAGATCTACATCGGAGTCACAGAGACACTCAGGAGGCTTACGACACAAGTCAAGGTCTTGTTGGAGATTACCAGCTCCCTCACTGAAAGCCCACAAGGGGAAGGGCTGATGTCTCCCACAGCCAGATCACCGATATCCAGTCCCAGGCCAGATAGATTCCCAAGCAATCCTATGAACAGTACAACATTCGAGGTTCAAGAGGAGCTCCACAAGAGCCTTGATGTTACTAATCTCCTTGGCCAAGCTGTCGACGTGGCAATTGAGAAAATTGTCAAGGTCTTGAAGGTTCGAGCAGAACAGACTGCACAGTTACCTCTGACCCTCTTCCTCCGTTACTTTACGCTCAACCTCTATTTTGCCACCGAATGCGAGTCCATCTCTGGCCGAAGCGGCACGTCACTCAAGAATGTGGTTAATGGACACATCAAGGACTTCGTGCAAAGGAATCGCGATGCAGAAATGCAGAAGCTGGCTCAGGGAATGGAATCTGATCAGTGGAATGCCAAAGACTTTACCGAGAAGAACACCGAGTTGCTCAATACCATCCTGGGGAGCAGCACGCATGATCCCCATGAGTGGACAGATAGTACCAAGATTTGGATACCTAGTTCGGAATTAGAGCCTGTTAATGAGGACGATGCAATCGAAACAAACGGAACCAGCAAAGAAAAGACCAGGACTGCTACAATCGATTCAGAGACGTTCATGTTACCAAAGTCAGCCATTTTATGTTTGGAGGGAATCGCCAAGTTCTCTCATCTGATCAGCGGCATACCGTCTATGACTGTTGATATTGCGACCTCATTAATCGCGTATCTTCAGCTCTTCAACTCAAGATGCACACAACTTATTCTTGGTGCTGGGGCAACGCGGTCAGCTGGGCTAAAGAACATCACCACCAAGCATTTGGCCTTGGCCTCCCAGGCGCTCTCATTCACAGCAACTTTGATCCCGCATGTTAGGGAATTTGTGCGACGTCACGCTGGATCCGGAGCGAGCGTGTCGAATCTCATGGGTGAGTTCGACAAGATTAGACGGCTACTGCAAGAGCATCAAGATAGTATCTACCAGAAACTGGTTGAGATCATGGGCGGCCGAGCAGCCATTCACTCACGGACGATGAAGACGATTGACTGGGACGCAGATGGAGCCAAGGGTGTCCATTCATACATGGAAACATTGGCGAAGGAGACAACTACTCTGCATCGCGTCCTAACGAAACATCTCCCTGAGACATCAATTCAGATGATCATGCTTCCTGTGTTTGCTAGTTACAGGGATCAGCTTGGGTCAAGTTTTAGAGAAGCAGATCCCGAGACTGAAACTGGCCTGAAAAGGTACGTTCTGTTGAGAATTAACTAAGCCATCCAACTAACCATCTCCAGTATGAACAACGACATTGAATTCCTCACGGCAAAACTCGGAAAGCTGGATGGCTTTGGGGAAACGGGAGAGTACCTACAAAAGATCATCAAGTCTAAGCAGGTCAAGGTAGTAGAGCCGATAACAGAAACGCCCGCAGAAGAAAAAAGAGAGGAGGAGTCCAAGGAGAGTGAGGCGATTCCTGCATCGGAATCTACGGTGGAGAAGGAAGAGAAGTAGATATCATGACAACTTAACTTGGAACACCTTTCTTTCGGGCGTGATCAAGACAGAGTCTGGTTGCACGAAGCGCCTCCTTGCAGGACAAGCACCAGTAACTAGTTGCATTGCCGACGTTCACTCAATCCCGACTTGTCTTTGATGAGCGGAGATATAGACATCGAGTTAATGTAAAAGATCCGCGGGACGTCGAGTTCACATCATAAATACGCTCTCACAATTGAGAGTTATTGTAGTTCCGAGTTATACTATTGTGAGCTAGATTGGTACCGGTAGTTCTCAAAACTGGCGTCAAGCTTCTCACTTTTTCCCGCAACCCGCATTCCAAACGAATTTGCATTCCAGTCTCTCAAGCTCCATCCGAGCACCTAGCCTGTCTTCCGACAAGCAACCAAGTTAGGCTTGAATACCCGACGGGAGGAAGCTGTCAAGACTTGGTGAGAACCGCTCGCTCGGGTTTTCGAGATCTCCGCACGGTCCTCACTGGCGCAACGCCACCTCTTCATGCCGTAGAAGCTGGCATCTCAGCATTTATTATACTGACGATGGTGCTTAGCTTCTTTTTACAGGTTAAAAGGCCAGCTCTTTTCTTTTAATTTTCCATTCTCAAAGCTTGGTTAATCTGAGGTTTGCTTATCAGTGAAAATTCCCCAGGCGAAGGCACCAGGGGAAGGCAAAAAAAAAAAGAAAAAGAAAACCAAGACCTTTCTTTATCCTAAGTATTGGGAAAGACTTATATTTTCTTGCTCCCTGAGAAAACCTAACAGGTTTAGTTAATTACACTAGGTACAGTCAGTGAGCTCTGATATACGACTCGCATGTTCGTTGGACAGAGGATCCCGAAGTCGCACAAGCACAGGCGCGGAATAACACTAACACTGACACTCCCGCGACCGGGTCTGTCCGGTTTTCTCGTAAACAGAAAGTTTTGGTTGAAGCGCGGGTTCAGTGTTGGGTTGATCATACTTCGCAGGGGTACATGATCTGCAATCAGGGTGATTGATCAACAGCAACGCGATCGGTCAAAACTCAATTCACTAGTGGCTATGTCTTGCTACCTTGTTTGCTTTCCGTAAGAACAAGCATTAAGCAGCGCAACCTCGTCTTTTGCCATGACTCTTCAATACAAGCCTGATTAACAACGGTGTCCAGTCAGCGCCAACTTGAACAGCATCGCGCAACTCACTGACAGTTTAACTCATGCTGGTCGCTGTACTGTGCTGTACCTACGTTAGATCAGAGACTCGCATGTAGGCCACGTTACATTCCGGCCAGGGCCAGGCACAACCTTGTTCCTGCAGACACAACATCAGGCTGTGATGCGTAACTGACGTGTCCTCTCTCCTCTTTTGTCAGGCGACGGTGAGAAACCAAAGAACAGTAGTCGACACTCGGTGGGCTTCCAAATCACGAGGTCGTCCCAGAAATAGAGCTAGGTAGTCAGCGTTCCGCCAGACAATGTTCGGGTCAGGGGCGGCAATTTGTTTCAAGTCTACATGTTGACGTGGCTTCGTCACCCAATTACGCACACAACATAAGCTCAACTCTTTTTTCACATGGCGGGACCAATCAATATTGGATGCACAGGTCAAAACTCTATGTTTTCATGTCTATATGTCCAGGTCTAAAGTCTAAAAATTTGTTGTCCCAAAGGGAGAACCCCATCTTTTTGTAAAGGAGCTTTTGCGCCCCAAGTCAAGTATGTACAAAGAAGTATATGTAAAAGTCTCTCTAGACATGGTCCAGATTCCAACGAGTGTAAGAAGATGTTCATAGAATGAAGAACGAGTGCCAGCCTCAATTCTCTTGCTGATACAAGAGACATCAAGCCTGTGATGCTACGCGGGCACGGAAAGAATGACGCTGCTCCGTATTCAAGAGTCTCGAAGAATGTGACTCAAGTACTGCTTTGACCTTGTCCTGTCTTGCCTGTGTAATCCATACATCCATCCATAAGCGCCACCTGCTCCAGCCCAAAGGTCTATGAAGAAAGGCCTCGGTTTTTGCAACACACGAGGGGTATCTTTCGGGGTATGTAAAACGAGAATCGTGTAGTGTAATGTAGAAAGGGATTCATATCATCGTCAACGCGGTGTTCAACGCCGCAGCGTGAAAGTGTAAAAGAGGGGTGGTGAAGAAGTGAAGTCAAGGGCCGTCCGGTGAATTGGCGACATGGAGGTTTAGTTAGACTGGGCCTGGTAGGGGCTGGCGCCGTCTCCAAGGGTGGTGATGAGGTCAACCTCGTCAGTGACCTTGGTCTGGACATCATCAGGGAGCCAGTAGCAGTTGTCACAAGGGAAGGTCTCGCAGCCAGACATGGGGGTGGCAGCAGACTTGGGCCACATCTGCTTGACGTTGTCCTTGTCGTTGGGGTCCACGATGGCAGAGACATCGAAATAAGTCTTGCCGTTCCAGCCACCGAAGGTGACCTCACCAAGCATGCCGGGTTGATCAGCCTTGCCCTTCTGGACAGCATAGAAGTTACCAATGTACTTGTCAGGGAAGTCAACAGTAACCTCCTTGGCCGAGCTGACAGTAACAGATTCGGGGCCTTCGTAACCAGGGTCAGGGGTGAAGATGATGGTGCGCTCCTTGTCGTCAAGAGTGACAAAGGTGACCGAGGCGGCGGCAGCATAGGTAGCAGAGGCGACGAGGCCGACGAGAGCAGTAGCGAACTTCATGTTGGCGGTATGATTTGGGTATTGTAAGGGGGATGGGTTTGTATGGAGAATTCTCGATTGTCGTCAAGACAAGAGTATTGATTTTATGCAGCGTCTGATAAAGGACTGAATCAGAACTTGTGATACTCCGAAGTGATGGAGTAAGCTGGTAGTCGAGAACTAGCTCGTTCAAAGTTGATCAGGGATCGTGATAGACTGAGCTTCCAAAAGGAATGAGAAGCTTTGAGTCAAAGGAATGATCGTCCGAAGACAAGAGTGTAATCTGAAACGGAAGGACTGTGTGTGTTGATCAGGGCAAACACCTGGAGAAAGGAGAGAGGAGGGCCCGTTTTATAAACAATATCTGGACACGACAGAACCCAAAGACCTGGCGTACTATACGGAGGATACTAGGGTTGCCGAGATCAGATTTGTCAAGGAAAACGCTCAAGCGCCTCAGTGGAGTCAACACACATGGAGGGTGAGGAGGCTAGGGTGTCTTGTCTTGTCTTGAGTTTGACTTGTCCCGACGGGCTCTGCAAAAGCCTTCCCGGTGGTGTTGTGGGGGTAAGTTATAAGTGTGGATGTCACTTCGATGTGAACGGAACCACTTTATCGGCCAACAGTTCGCAACACAAAGCTGAAATGAACTATCCGTCCACTGTGCTCTACTCAGAGCAACCCAACTTGCCTATGCATCGGTAGGTCAGGCCCTGTGATACCAACAAAGTCTCTCCTACCAGCACTTCTGCAGTGATTCCATTGCAGACACCTTTCATCTGGCCCAGCACATACATGTGCACATGCATTGTATGTACGGAGTACTCTGTATCATATGTACGGTCAATTGCGTGTCCCTGTGGTGATGTGGGTGTGGGTGTGGGCTCATTCGGCTGCTCCTGAGTGGTCCGGGGGATGCTTGTTGAGTGCGGGCCGTTTCTATGTTTAAGCTTTCAGAACAAAGGGAGGCCAGGCCGTTGTTTCAACGCTTTCCTTTGTGGCTTTTTTCCATCTTGTCTTCGGCTTGAGAAAACAACCGCTTCTGGTCGCTCATTCGTTGTCTCCAAATGAAACAATTTATGTCAATTGGGACTTCATCTCAATTGTTATTTTGTGACTTGGGGGTAGTGTTTCACTGCACAGTAAGCGCGCGACAACAAAGGAAGCATCCAAAAGATAGACACATACAGTACTGTACGGACTGTACAGCTAGAGGGGCCCCAGCCATCTAGAGGAAATCCGGTTCGAAAGACAAGCTTCTGGGCCCTCTTTCACATGGGGGCTAAGGCAATGCTGTCTCTACCAGTTTGGGCCAAGAGGCCGGCAGACAAGAGACGAGAGGCGTCTGTCAGCGATTCAGCGTATGTAGCCGCTCACACCCAGTTCCGCGGCTACACTACCGGTACTGTACAGTACTGTGCCCTCTAAGCCTGCAAGGGAGGGGTTAGGTCCCATAATATCGCTCTATTTTTTCTTCTAGCTGCAGCTTGGCTTGATTCGACTAGCAGCTTCTGGTCTCCCATTGGCTAGCTGTTTCCCACCGGTGCCTGGTACCTGACAGGCGTCCATGTGGTTGGACTTGGAAGGATTGTTTCGAAATCTGCTCTACGCAAAGAGGGTGTGAGGAACCTTTCTCTTTCAGGTTGTCGGATAACGGGAGCAAACGTACCGTACAGGGGTCCAACGGTTGGGCAGGGCTCATTGCAACTTTTGCAAGCTGACCGGTGTGCACGTCAGCAAAGCCTGCAGGACCAGCACACAATTTTCTTACAGTTAAAATTATGGACTCTGCTGGCACTCTGCCGGGAATAGTCTGGTCCCATGCAAGCACTTAGCTTCGCTTGTTGGCATCATCAATGACTTGAGACTTGAATGAAAATTCTGAGATCCTGGTACGGCTGGCTGGGCCACTGACGCCAATGTGGCTTTCCCTCAAACTTACGTGTCCATTACCGACACGTGGAGACTGAATCAACAACCGTGGCCACTGCGGCTTTTCTGAGTCTGCAAAGGCGAACAAACTTTTCGCTGTGCGGACACTAACGACTCGACATTCCTAGCCAATACACCGTTGAAGGATGTCAGGAAGTGTTGGAAAATATGAGAGAGAAAAGCACGCGAGCGCCATGATCTGTTCCCTCGGTCACTATCTTTTGGTTCTCCTGGGCCTAGTCGCAGAGTCGAGACCTTCAAAAGATCATGATTCAGTTCTTGACGATGGTCCGGTTTTGATGAATAAGAAAACCCTGGTATACATATGTTGCCACGTCGCGACGACAACAAAGCAAACCAAGAATTTTCTGACACTTTGCTGTGCCTGGCGATCAATTGCCCCGAGTCTGCCACGCTCTTGACCCTGTTTATGTACAGTAACCCATAGACCGATATACTCCGTAACACATGCATCTCAATGGGGATCAGGGTAGGGCTGCCGCGTCACCAATGATTAACTCCAGTTAATTTTAAAGAAGCCTGCACCCTTGCCATTTGCGATTCAGGTACGGAGTACTGGGAAAACGATTCGTCACATTCCCCGAAGGATACTGCTGGAACAATGTGGTACTTCGTCGGCACGAGATGGCAAGGTGGGAGTCGACCCGATGATAGTTGGCGTCCCAATGCCCCCATTGCTTGCTGGAGCCTGAGTATTCGCGAGAATGATTTGTTGATAGCTGCGCCATGATGCTAGGTTGCGTTGGCCAAGGAGACGAGCAAAATAGGATTATGGGTCAGGGTTGTGCCTGAGGCCCCTACGCTAGACAAGCATGGAGCTTAAACGGATTTGTATGAACGGAGTGGGAACAAAAGAAAAAATCGCTTTCTTGGTGCGTTCAAAACGTCGCGGACTTTCTTCCGTCTTGGTGGTCTAGGCCGTTGCCCACAGTACGAAACTGTCATGAAAGGTTTTGCGCCGCGCGGTTTTTGGCTTCCCTCTCAAATTGTTGTCCTAGCCCGAGAAGGTTCCGTTCTGCACGTTCTGCAGCCAAGAAGCGAGTGAGTGCACCACGGTGTGCAAGTGTGTAGGACTGCCTGGTAGGCCCGTGGAGTTCCATTTGAGGTCTGACGTTCACATCACCAATCTTTGTTGTTTGTCGATCCCACTGCCCTTGAGCAGGTTTGACAGCATGTGAAGGATTTTGCAAAAGCAAAGTCTGTCGCTGAACGAGCTTTTGGTTACCGATCGGACACGGTCGAGTGTATCTTGCCTCATGTACTCCGTCGATGATATGTCCTCGTCTCGCCAAATTCGAACCAAATCTAGTGCCTAGCCAGCGATGTCGGCAGAAAGTTCGTCGTTGCGAGTCATCGTAGCTGCCAGACCAATTCTTGCTGTATGCAGAAGAAGCTAGGCCTCATGTCACTACCACTTGATCTTTCCTTTAACAATAGTTGTCAGAAGTCCGCTCTCCTGCACACACACATATACTTCTTAGTCTCGTGTGCCAGATTGTAGAAACGCAGACGTTCTTCCAGTGAGCGGTCAATCGTCCTCAAAAGGCGGTTCAAAATTTCAACTCCGTCAAAAACTTCCACATTTTAAAATTCGGTTGATCAGATGCACGAACCTGCATGCGCTACTTTTATTCAGCTGATGTGTGAAGTTCAGATTCTGAGAAAACATTGCAGTGAGTGAGTGGAAAGATCCACAATTTCGGAGACCGGCCGGCAACCCGTTGATCTTTGAAGCGAGGCCGAAGGTGGTACTTGGTCTGATCCGTTACCGAACAGCAAGTCTCCACTCCGAGCTCAAGTCTGTCCGCACACATCGGCCGGCTAAGTCTCCCTCTCTTCTTGTTGGTTTTGAGGTCTAGAACAAGGTTCATGGCCAAGAAAGTAGTAGAGTGTGTAAGAAATGCCTCATCGGAGGCGCGGTGATTGTTAAGAAAGTTTGGAGACACTGGAATGTTCAAGTCCCAGGTGATGGGAAGGGCTTGTGTTGATGTTTGGCCTCATCCCAATAGCGCCCAATGATGGTCGTGGAGGTTTGTAGACTCTGGTTGAGCTCATGGGATTTTGGCAGCTCATGGTCAAGGAGTCGCCTTCTGCGGCTTGACTTCTGCTGGGCCAGTCGAAGATATCAAGCGTGCTTTTCTCTCACGTCCGAACTTGGCTGGAGAGGAGATCGCACATAGCCATGTGCTTTGCTGGTCAGTTTCATCGTGCCAGGAAAGTTCATTGCGCGGTCTTGTCACCTTACGCTAGGCTCTAACCACCCGCGGTGAATGGTGAGAGCATAGAATCTTGGGACTTCGAACAGCAGAAGAATCTCTCATCTTTCCGTTCTGGCACCCTGAAGCTAGTCCAAATTCCGTTCGAAATCGAGCAGAGTTACGGGCCATATCAGACGCTTGGCTTGACTTGTCAACACTTTTTGATTCAGGTAGGAGTGGCGTGCTGAGTACGAAGTGGAGAAGTTGTGACATGCCTCTTCCAGAGATTCATACTCGGCGTTCGCTGAAGTGTAGAATGGAAGCTTCCCTTGATCCACATGATTATTAAGAATAAGAATTTGCGAAGAGTTCACTATGAGGTCCTGGATATGAAGATGAAGTGCTCGAGGTGGGGTGAATTGAATCTCGTGACGACTTCCGTTGCTTCATGAACCGACACGTGACCTTGACTAATGAACTCCGTTCTACGGCTGGGGCACCTTGAAAGTTGATGATGGGCCATTAATAAGTTTATTATCTGTGTGGTAGTGTGTTTTTTGTTTTTTATTCTTGAGAGCTTTATACTTCTAGTTTAATCTCACCTATTTGCATAGTTTGTTTTCATTTCTGTGCCCGAGTCTTATAATTAGGGACTTTTGAACGCACGCCATCAAGCTTCCTCTAAAGAATCACCTGGGGGTACAAACTCATGAAAGCAAGAAGGTTAGGTGATTATTTATACAGATCTACTGTTGTAAATGTTAGTGTGAATGGCCCGTTTCCTTGACTAAACCCTATTGCTCTTAGCCTTCCCCCCAACACTAAGGTAGGTATCATCACACAACATGACTTGACTATATAGAATTGAAG